GTTACACCCCTACTCTTTTCGAGAAACACCCTGGGATTTTTAATGACCACAGAGAGTCAGGACCTCGGTTTTACGTCTCATCCAAAGGACGGCACCTGTTTACAGTATAGTGTCCCCATCACTATACTGGGGCATTAGGACCCACACAGACCGCAGGGTGAGCACCCCCTGCTGGCCCCACTAACACCTCTTCTAGCAGCAACCTTAGTTTTTCCCAGGAGGTCTCCCATCCAGGCACTGACCAGGCTCACACCTGCTTAGCTTCAGCGGGTTGCCAGTTGTGAGTTGCAGGATGATATGGCTGCTGGATATTATTAGCCAGTCCCACACAGTGAACATTACCTGATTTACAACAACGTGTCACTGTGTCTGAAAAAAAGCAGATACATTAAGTTGCACTTAACAAGACATTGTTGGAAATAAAGTAATTGAATTTATATATATATATTACTATAGTATTTTAGAATTAGACTAGAAAATACAGCATTGAACACTTTATAATTGAAAAGTTCCCCCAGAAGTGGTGCTTACAACTCATTGGTAAATCAGAAACTGTTCTGGTTACCCACAGTTGGAACTGATCAAGAGTGTCCAGTTGGTACATCTGAACAGCTAGAGAAACATCACCTGTCAATTCTCTGCTGTGTTTGTTTAATGCAATGTGGACATGAAACACTCACCGAGTTCTTTGTGAAGCTGGGGAAAATCTGCAAATGAAAAGAGTTACACTTTCATTTCTACCCACACATGAGAGTGTTTAGTCACACTAAATGGAAGACATCCAAGCCACTTTTGCCCAGCTGTACTTAATTGTTGTCACGCCCTGTACTCCTAGAGGGCGCTCTACTTCACTCCTGTTCCTAGTTCCCTGTGATTATTCATGTCTTTCTGGTGTGTCTTGTTGTGTAGCCTATTTACTTCCTGGTTCTGCTCTGCTCCTTCGCTCATCATTGATGTTCGGATGTCCTGAGACCCGCCTAGCACCAGGTCGCCCCACATCCGCTACCTGAGGGCATAGGTTTCTATACGGCATTCTTGAACAGCTGAGCCCCGGCTAACCCCCGTCTCGCCGCTACGCATAGGGTCTTTATCGCTCTTCTGCCATTCCACGGCTCGTCCTTTATCGACACCTGTGACAATTGTAGTTATTCCCTGGATCATACTATACAGGTCCTAGAAATGTCATATGCAAAAACCTTCTCTTTTCATATCATGCATCTCTTCTACCCTCCATCTCCACCCATTGAGCTGTCCTTTGGTTCACTCCTCACCCAGCACAGGGGTTCCAGCCTCCTTGAACTACAGCCAGAGGGCTGGCCAGATGTGACGGTACCTAAAACACTCAATAAAAATCCTCAAACCCACCTAAAGGTCTTATAAAACACATCTATACAGACACAAGCCGATAGTGAAAAACACACCGTGCAGTTTCCGCCACTTCTTAATCAGTAGATTGGTCAACCCAACACTGAGAATCAGAGTCAAGAGGAGAGCCACCATCCACCCAGATGGCCCTGGGGAAATGTCCTCTGCAAAACAACGGCATGGAAAAGATAGCTCAGCTCTGCTTTCATCCTGAATGAGACAGCATTAGGAAGCCTGTCTACAATCTTTCCCAAGGGCTGCTCCAGGATCACATGCTCATACTGCCCCTGTTAACTAGAGCTGCCTGATTGATCGTTCATGATCATCCAACCCTGGTCCTGGAGGTCTGGCAGATTTTCTAAGTCTAAGTCTAAGTCTCTTCAAAGTACCAGCAGCCTGGTGGTCAGGAAAAAAACAGCCAAATTGATCCACTTAAGCCAATAACAAGCCGCTTGAGATCATTCGGATCCGAGCTGGAAGGAAAACCCGCCGAGACTCACCCACCCGCCCTCCAGGACCAGGATTGGATACCCTTGGATTTTCCCCATTTGCCATTTGTAATTTCCCCCGGCCATCAGGCAAATCAAATACAACATTTCGCCTTACCTATGCACAGGTCACAGAATGCAAACTCGATAATACAAGTCGATAATAAAAGTTGTTCAGAGTGGAGATATGAAGCACAGATGCAGAAGACATAAATGCACAAGAAGAAAGAGGGAACAGTTGTAGAAATCAGATGATGCAACCTTTTCACACCTATTGGGTCAGATTGCTCTGTAACAACAGACAGGAAAGCATTATGGACGAGCCATTCAGCCTGGGTTAGCAATACTGTTCAAAAAGCATTTCCTGAACTACTGCAAGGACAGTACAGGAGAGGCCTCACTAGATCTACACAAGTGCCATGCATGTTACAGTATCACAATCTAATATTCAGAATGTGTTCAGGACTCACCGCTTATGTGGAGGAGAGACCCCCTGTCTGGATAAGGCACTGCACTTCTCACCAGGCAGGAGAAGATGTTGGACTCCTGTTTGACCGGGAGGTAGCTGCTGACACTGAGGAGCCCCCGACTGTCCCTCTCCACTGTGGTGCTGGACAGTGACGTCACATCCTGTCCATCCCTGTCTGTCCAGGTCACCGCAGGTGCAGGGAACCACCCCTCTGACCTGCACACCAGCTGGGTCTGACCCCCTCCAGTGGAGTGGAGAGACACCGAGGGCTGGGTCCCCAGAGCTGGCAGCAGTCACAATACAGGTATTTAGACTTCAGAGACAGTTTTTAAACAGACATAATAGATTTCTAAGCTTTAACAGGCTAGCCTGTCTGTTCTTTTTTCTTATTTTAAGGGGCAAACATGTTTAGTTACACCAAGGTTCTTTCCCTTTCTTTCCCCTTTGTGTGTGGCTCTGTACTCATGAAGAACAAATACTCTTTGCCACGTCCCTACAGTGTAGCCAACATTTTTAGAGTTTTGTTTTGGAGTCAGCAGTGAATCAAAGAGTTTACTGATGATCTTCAAGAGTTTGAAGATGGCCATGTTGGCATAAACAATATGGCATTATTTACCTTACAGGTTACCCTACTTCTTAGCACGGAAGTGTGACTTCTGAGCTGAAGAATTGGGCAGAGTTTGCTCAAAGCTGTCTGGTATCTAGATGGTAACGTCATGCCGTGGTTTCAACATATTTTTTTGCCTGGTATTGAGCGACTTATTTGACATTAAGTGACACTGCAGTAACAACACCACACTATAGAAAACAAGTCACAGAACAGACTTACCCCTCACAGCTAAGTCAATCATAGCTTCCTTGTACCAGTCTGCTGACTGAACCAGGCAGGTATACAGGCCATCATCGGTTCCTCGCACGTCCTTCAGGCTTAGAGAGGCGTTGCCTCTTGGGAATTCCTCTGGGAAGAGATCAGTCCTCCCCTTGTAGGACGGGAGCTGATAATCAAAGAGATTCTTATGTTTACGGTATAAAAATACAAGTTCTGAGAAGTCCCCTCTAAACCACCTGATCTCCAGATCCAGCACACTGATACTGGGTGAGAGGTAACAGGGCAGGACAGTGTCTTCACCAGCTGCAGCAACAACAGGACCCGCTGGGCCCAGAACCCGGAACGTCTCTGGGAAGAGAAATAGAATGAAGTCAGGGGTCGTCATCGTCTTTGGACTAGAACAATTAGTGCCACAGTGAGCGCCACAACTGAACGGATTGCTTACGATTTCATGTGATTTCACAATTAACCCAAATGTTGATTCTAAGATAGGCTAAGAACTTATCTACATGCACCCTCCTGGGACACAAAGGTTATCCTACAAAAGCCCTCAATGCATGTGATCCAAGAAATCTAATGCCCATCTCACACTGCAAGTTCTTTCTAATTTCATTCTTTTGCTTTCCTTATTCCTTTAATCAGATTTTTAGTCACATATCAAACTTTATTTTCTTTCTGAGCATATCATGGCACTTGAGCCCAAATGTATTTTTCTTCACAATAGGAAAACACTCCTCACGGTACCTGATATTGAGACAGGGATCTGGAGAAAGGAAAGCAGAATTATTAGAATCCATACTGACTCCAACTCCAACTTCATCCCAGGAACAGACAGGCAGTCTCCCAGTGAGAATCCCAGAGTGAGGAGTGTCTCTCACACAGCTCTAAAGATGAAGCAGCACTGAAGACACAGACAGTCTCCCAGTGAGAATCCCAGAGTGAGGAGTGTCTCTCACACAGCTCTTAAGATGAAGCAGCACTGACGACACAGTATCAGGGGGAGACACAGCCCGGAGACTGATATCTCAGCCCTGCAGCTGTTCCTCCTTCCAGCCCCCTGCTGAATAACACATCCACACCCAGCCCGAAACCGAAAGTGGCGCTGCGCTTGAACTCTCTTCAGCAGAATGAACAGAATGAATCCTGCACGCTCTGTTTGTAGATGAGATTGTATAAGTGAGAAACGAGGGATAGTGAGCAAGGGAGACCCATATTTTTCTTTTGATGTGGCACAGCTCCGTTACAAAACGCCTGGCGATCCATCTGTTTCCTATCTGCTTTATCCACTTCAGGGCTGCAGGGAGAGCTGGAGCGTATCCCAGAAAGCAACTAGAGTAGGGTGGGGTACACCCTGAATGGGATGCCACTCAATTACAGGACGGACGCACGCACGCACGCACGCACGCACGCACGCACGCCTCCTCAAGAACTCAACCCAGGGCTGCAACGCCAACCTGACTTGAAGCTGGTATCAAATAAAAATATTTTTTACAGGCCAAACAGCGTATTCATCGATACTACCTTCCTGAAATAGAAGGGCCTCTTTTAATGGAAATGTGCAGCTAGGGTTTCGTCAGCTACTTCATTGTGAAGACTGTTACTTTGACTGATGTGGAGTAAGTTCTTGGTCACAGCCATTACTTGCTCAAAAAACACAAAACTAATCAAGAAATGGTTCCAGCCAACGAGTCTCCACATTTCGTCTCGCTCCTGAAGAGGAAGGTTTTGAGGATATACACTGGATATTTCAGTAAACCACCCTGCATCCCAGATTCAGCAACGAGAGAACAGCAGTGAGGATGAGAGACTTAGTTTCCCCTCCAGGGTGTTTATTGTCTTTCATTAACAGCAGGCAGACCGACCCCTGAGAGAGAGAGAGAATGGGACACCTCCCAGAGCGAGACACAGGGAAGATGGGCAGCCTCCTTGCACAGGGCAAGGCAGGAGGGAACAGATGCAGTCAGGGCCCAGGTCGAGAGAGACGTGGGTCATTGGGGGGGAGAGGTGTTTGCAGAACATTACATAGCTCCCCCGCCCTTGGAAGACAGCTTAGTCCTACAACAACGTCGTCCTCCAGGGGCAGACCAGGCTGGGGACCAGGTGTCAGGCTACAAGGCAACATCAGGCTCTGCCATCGGCCGCAGGTGGATCAACTCCCTCACGCAAGGCCTCAGGCAAAGGCAGAGAGAGGACACTAGTGGTCTGGCAACCTGGCCTCTGTAGGGGGCCAGCAGGCCCTGGTGAAGTACCACCAACATGGGGGTGGGCAGAGCAGAGCGGTGGCACTGTGGCTAAGGATCTGTGCCTGTGGCTGGGAGGTTGCTGGTTCAAATCCCAAGGCTGGCAGAGGAATCCTACTCTGTTGGGCCCCTGGGCAAGGCCCTGCACCCCAACTGCTCCAGGGGTGCTGTATAAATGGCTGACCCTGTGCTCTGACCCCCAGCTTCTCTCCCTGTCTGTGTGTCTCATGGAGAGCGAGCTGGGGTCTGCGAAAAGACAAATTCCTAATGCAAGAAACTGTAGATGGCCAATAAAGTGATCTCATCTTATCTAAACCCTTCATAATCTGGACCTGTGGGTCCTCGTCATCATCCTCTACTCTGGCATCTGGATGGGCACAAGACCTCCAGCAAGGTGCTCTGCATCACAGCCCCTCTGCCTTGCATGCTGGTGTTCATGCTCATCAGGGATCACCCTCCCAAGAGCTATGGATATCATAAAGGTTCACCTCCACATCAAAGTCAAACAATCGATTCAAAACCAGTCCGCACTGCGGGCCCTGCAGCCACTCGGATCTCAGGATTTCAGGTTCAAATTGGCCAACTACAATTCACCCCCATGGTCAACTGTATGACCAGCTTCGTCATCTTCCATCCTGGGTTTCATGGCCAAAAAAGACCCACAAGGTGGAAGCAGCCATCAAAGGATCAGCTCTGGTATTCAGTCTGGAAGACACTGCAGGGTTACATGGTCACAAAAAGACAGAGGATATTGCCACTGAAGGAGCAGGTCTGGTCTTCCTCGTCTACCCAGAAGCCATTTGAGCCCTCACAGGGTCAACTTTCTGGGAGACCGTCTTCTTTATAGGGCAGCAGACCCTGGGCTTCAACAGCACTATGGAGAACCTGTACTGCAGGAAGCTCCATTTTATTGGAGAGGTGTCGCAGCTGTAAGGCGTGGACAGATTCAAAGAAACATCATGAAGGTAGGCCTCAAGCCAGGACTCTACTGGAACCTGTCCGGTTCTTTCTCTCCTAGTGACAGGAGCGGGGGGGGGGAATTCTATTATTTGTGAGAAAAAACACTATCCTGCCCTGAAGCACAATGACACACATAACCCATCATAACCCTTTAGTTGTGCCAAACAAATAACAGGAACTCGGGTGCCTGTGTAGTAGAAGCCTTCTGTACTGCATATGCATATGGGAGCCAAGCTCTTGCAAGGCAGACTCAAAGAAAAGCAACAGATGGTCTTTCATACAGTGAAACAAGCTATAGCCAATCGTTAGCAATACAGAAATGTCTATATATGGATATACATTACACGCGGTTTAGGCCCAGTTTGGGGAGGCAAGCGGTTTAGCACACCACCAGTATAGCTGCGTCTCAATGAGCTTGCCTGGCGATACATGACAAACAGCTCAAATATACAGATAAAAGCAGAGGTTCCCTGGACAGGTTTGAGTGAAAGGTTATGATATACATACAGAATAAGCATCTTATAACTTAAATCATGTCTCTTGGCTTATTGACAAAGACAGGTTCTGCTTTTATGTTCTGGGCACAAAGCCAACTACGTAAAAGTTAGTTTAAACAAAAGAACAGCTTTTTATTTCTTCACTTAACCAAAAAGCTCATATTCCAGGTCTTCTCAGAGACCTTCTGGAGCACATTAACCCATTTAGTCTCTTACACCCAGATTCTTACTAAACTACATTTGATCAGTATTTCTTTAGAGATCTCTTTAAGGAATAGATACAGTACCTGCTTAAAAATCAATTCTCTTCCTGAAGGCAGGTGTGTCCAATTACTGTCCAGCAGGGGGAGCTAC